TTAGGCAAATCTGCTGCACAAGACCTTTTTAAAGTGTTGAAGAGCAAAGATGTCAGCTTGAGGACTAAGGTGCACCTTACCCAAGCCATGGTATTGTCAATAACCTCATATGCATGTGAAAGCTGGACAATGAATAAGGAAGGTAGAAGAATTGACGCATTTGAGTTATGGTGCTGGAGGAGAATATTGAACGTGCTATGGGCTGCCAAAAGAACCAATAGATCAGTGTCGGAAAGAGTGCAGCCAGAGTGCACCTTTGAAGACCAGGATGGCTAAGCTTCGTCTCTCATACTTCACCAGTCGCTGGAGAAGGATATCATGTTTGGTAGGGTGGAGGGTCAGAGAAAAAGAGGAAGACCCCCCAACGAGATGGATTGGCTAGGTGGCAGCATCGATGGACTCAAACGTGGCAACAGTAGTGAGGTTGGCCCAGGATCAGGCAATGTTTCATTCTGCTGTTCATAGGGTCGTTATGAGTCGGTACCGACTTGATGGCACCTAACAACAACAATTACTGCATTCTCAGAAAGCCATCAAATCCAGTGTAGATCCATTAATTCACCTCTAGCTATGATTAAACTAACATAAACAGGTATTTGCTTAATATGCATATATTCTGGGGTTAGGAATTAAAATTGATCATGTTTTTCTGTGTGCCATCAAATCAATTTTAATTGACTCCATATGATGGAGAACTGTTCCATAGAGTTTTCTAGGCTGCAATCTTTATCCAAAGGAGCTCTTGTAGTGTAGTGGTTACGAATCAGGCTGTGAACCGCAAGGTTAGCAGTTTGAAACTACCAGCTGTTCCGTGGGAGAAAGATGAGGATTTCTGCTCCCGTAAAAAATTTACAGCCTCAGAAACCCTGCACAGGGTCACTATGAGTCGGAACCGACTACATGGCACATAACTGCCGGGGTCTGACCCCGACATAGTTGTCACGAGTTTTTGGTTCACGAGGAGGGGAGATCCAGCGGCGATAGGGATAGCGAAAGAATACACAGACAAACAGAAGAAGGGAGACAATGAGGCACCCCAAAGCCAGGGTGGATACATCACTGGTGGGCAGGTTTGGGACTACAGGCATCATGGCCTCTGCAGGCAGCGACTCACTGCTCTGCAATCTTTAATGGATGCCTTCCAACCCGTAATGCACCGCAATCTTTACTCCATGCCTTCCAACCAGTAATGCACACCTGGGGAGGCTCGGGCCTCTGTTTTATTTAGGGGAGGAGTTTCACACCAAGCTGGGAGGGACTAAAACAGGATACAGCTAACATCAGTAATTTTCCAGACATTCAGGTAACTTTACATTGTACTTCACTGGTTTGAATCCCAGGCCAGCAACTTGGATTCTCAGGCCCAATTAACATATCTATAGCCCCTGAGGTCAGTTGGGGGAAGTTGAGAGTTCTGCAGGAGACGCCCAGGTGAATGGGCTGCACCTGGAAAAGGGATTAGGGAGGATGGGTTCTTTGTCTATAGAACAAAGAACCGAGAAGTAGCTAAGATATTTTTAGTTAATCCTTTGGAGAAAGGTTTAACCTTGCAACCTTTAGTCTCGGCTTTAGGAAAATATCACATTTATCTGTGGATTTTCAAAGGCTCCAGTGTATTAATTTAATATATATACCTGAATATTAAGATGAAAGCAATTTTCCATTAACTGCCAGTGGCCTCATTTGTTACACTCAGCCCTAGAGGGCCTCGAACCTCTGACTAGTCTTACACGGTCTGCAACACATAACAACAACAAATCTTTATCCAAGAAACTTTGGTAGTGTAGTGGATACGAATTGGACTGTGAACCGCAAGGTCAGCAGTTCGAAACTACCAGTTGCTCCATGGGAGAAAGATGAAGCTTTCTGCTCCAGTAAGGATTTACAGCCTTGGAAACCCTGTTCAGGGTCATTATGGGTCAGAACTGACTCAACAGCACTTAACAACAACAACTTAACAACAATCTTTATTCCAGTATTTAACCAGGTATTTCTCCCACAAAGCAGCTAGGTGGATTTGAACAGCCAACTTTTCAGTTGAACACTTAACAGCTGAACAAGTAACTGTTGCTTCACAAGGGCTTCTTAAACTTAACATAAAGCTCATTGTCATCAAGTCAATTCCAACTCATTGCAACCTTATAGGACTGTTCCATAGGGTTACCAACACTGCTAATCTTTACTGGATTGGAATGCTACATCTTTCTCCCATGGAGCCGCTGGTGAGTTTAAACCGCAAACCTTCAGGTTAGTAACTGAGTGATTAATCACGATGCCACCAAGATTAATCACTATGCTATCAAGGTGCCTCAAATTCATAGTGCTATTGTTATCACAACCTAAAATACAGTTGTAATAGTTAGGTTCTATGTCAACTTGAGTAAACCATGATTTCCAGTCTTTTGGCAGTGATGATTGGCTATGAGCAGACAATCAATTGAATGGATGTTTCCTTGGGGTTTTGGCCTGCCCCCAATATAATGGACATGCAGTAAACACTCACAGTCTTCCCCAATGGGTCTAGATATCATATTTGGATTGTCCTCCAACCTCTGGTTCTTTGAACCTGAGCCAGTGTACTTCTCTGTTGTACCTTTGCCTATTGGGCTTGCTTGCCAAGTATGCCTGGAAAACCAGACAACTGGAGAGCCCTGCATGCCTGTTCCTGTCACCCCAGTTCGTGTACCCGACACCACCAGTTCTGCAGCATGCCTGCACAAGCCTTGGTCGACCATCACCCTCTAGCTGGCCCTGCTCCAGCACCAAGGTCCTGCTCTGTGCCCTGACTTGGGATTCCTGCCTTTAGAGCCACTTGCTGAACTTGGTTCACCTGAACTGCACTTGGGACTCTCCTACCTCAAAAATCGTGAGCCATTTTCTTGATACAAACTTCTCTTTATATATATATAAATATATATATATAGTGGTGGTTGTGTGCTGTGGAGTCTGTTCCAACTCAGAGCAACCCTGTACAGGGTTTCCGAGGCTCTAAATCTTTATGGGAGCAGAAAGCCTTATCTTTCTCCCGTGGAACAGACCTAGTCATTTCAAACTCCTGACCTTGAGGTTAGCAGCCTGACTTGTAAACACTATGCTACCAAAGATATACATATATGTTGTTGTTATGTGCCGTGGAGTCGGTTCCTACTCATAGCAACCCTGTACAGGGTTTCTGAGGCTTTAAATCTTTACGGGATCAGAAAGCCTCATCTTTCTCCCACAGAACAGCTGGTAGTTTTGAACTGCTGACCTTGCGGTTCAAAACCCGATTCATAACCACTATGCTACCAGAGCTCCTTATATAGCACTGATTTTGTTTCTCTAGAGAACTAAGAGTAAGACAACAATGTATTTGGTGGCTGTACGAATGGACTTTAAAAAATTGATGGAAAAATTATATTATTTTTTAATTCTACTTTTCTATGAACTTTTTGAAACAGAGGTGGGAAACTGTCAAAGAAAAAAGTTTAGCTGAATAAAATTAAGTTTATTTTGAACAAAATTAAATGTGTCACTTTTTCTAGCATTCAAAATGCTTCTTTACCGAGGTAAATTTGCCAAGGTAAAAGTTAGAGTATGTGGGAATATCAAACCTGAAAATGTCACTGGCTAGAAAACTGAAAAAAAAAAGTGCTATGTAAAAGAGAAACTAAATCTATTCATCTTATATGAGTAACACACAGCATAGTTTTTAAAATAAGCTTTACCAAACTCTATCTTTATAAACTTCTAATTTCCTACCTTTTAAAGAAGCTTTTTGTAACACCTTCATTGCATAGAGCTGCCCAGCATCAGGACCAGTCTTCTTCCTAACAAGAAAAACCTAATGGATAATGAGAAAAAAAAAATAAGAATAATAAAGCAAAATCCATAGTTCAAGCCATTCTTACAACATACCTCAAGGAGGCTTCAAAAGTTCATTAAAAAATGGAATGGAAAGATAATGAAATTTTCCATGAAGCATTTGAAGTTATCTCCTATATCTTTTAATTATACCTTTCCATTAACTTTTTGAAGTCTCCTCATACAAATTACTACATACATATATACACTTACATTTCCTCTAGTTTTATAAAGACATACATTCTTCTATAAATTACATCATAAATTATATTGTTAGTTGTTTAATTTTGATCATTTAGTAAGGCACACATGCTATTGTAAGAAAAAAAAGTAGATGATAAGGTCTCAGACATTAGAAGTTTGTAATATGACACCACTTTATTACTTTGAGCTGGAGACCTTCATTTAGGACCTAACCCTTTTTTGTTACCTTGATAAAAAACAAACAAATTATATGACTGTAATTTGTATATCATAATTTCTATTTCAAACTGATCTGTTTTAGAAGTTACCAAGCATTATATTTTCTAATAAGAAACCAGAGACAATTCTTATCTGCAGATAAAATAATCAAGATGGCAAACTATCTCAATAAGTAAATGAAAGTTGAATTCTTTAAAGTAACCAAGCAAGCTTAAATAATGTATTACTAATTCAAACTAAGATCATGACTCATTAAAACTAAGCTTTGAAAAGCCTTGATCACTAAAACAAATATGAGTAAATTGCAGTTTTTTATAAAAGTTCGTTATATATTAGAATAGGAACTCTGATGGTGCTTTAAAATAAGCAGTGAACTGCTAACCACAAGGTCATTGGTTCAAATCCACCAGTTGCTTGGGAGATAGCAAATGAGCTCAGCTGCTATCCTAAAGGTATAGAGGTTCAAGTCCACCCAGAGTTACTTTAGAAGAAAGGCAGTTGCTCACAAATCATCTCCAACTCATGGTGACTCCCATTGTGTTAGAGTATAGAACTATGCTCCAGAGGGATTTTAATGGCTGATTTTTCAGAAGTAGATCATAAGGCCTTTCTTCCAAGGAGCCACTTAATGGATTTGAACCTCCAACCTTTCCATTAACAGCCAAGACTGGTTATATCCCTCAGAAGAAAGTTCTGCATTTAGTTCTGAAAAACAGTCATTGAAACCCCTATGGAGTACAATTTTCTTCAGACACACAAGGAGTTGCCATGCATCATGCATCAGGATTTTTAATTAGGCAAATTACATTTATGTTTTCAAGGCAATATTGCTAATTTGAAGCATATTAATAACCTAAGGTCATTCTGAGGCTATACTAATCTCTTCACAGAAAACTGAAAATGGGGGAGGGTAGATTTTCCTAATGTTTTACATTAAAAAGAAGTGGCTCCTAGGTCTTCCAGGAAACATTAAGATTTACATACTTTCAAAAGGAGCCCTATGTTTTGTAACAAAAGGAGAGGAGTGGTTGATCTTCTAGTCCAGGAGCCAAGGATCCCATGACCATCCAGGGAGAAAAGAGGAGTGCCAGACTCTATCCAGAGAAGTAGTGACTCCACAGATAGAGGCAGAGATGATGATGTGGAGAGACCAAGCAGCTGGGGACTTTAGACTCAGGGAAAAACAGGGGCTGTGTGATGGTGGGTGGGGGGACAGGCTTGTGGGGTGTACCCTTTGGTTGTTTGAATAATTATATATTCCTGAGTGCTTTGGTGTACGTCCAAAACAATAACAACAACAACAAACAAACAGAGGGAATAGAAGCAAATAACTGTTGAATGATGATGCATGGAGGGGACTGTAATCATCACAATGAAACAAAATAGGATAGGATGAATACAAAGCTGATGGTCTCCCATGTAAACTATCACTTAATTCACAATAAAAACATTTAAAAAAGAAGGAGCCCTAGTGTGGCACTGTGGGTTAATGTGCTGGACTGAAAAGTCGGCTTGAACCGCAAAGTTAGTGGTTCACGCTCACTAGCCGTTCCTCAGAAACTCTATGCAGGATCACTGTGGGTCAGAACTAACTCAACACCACTAAACAACAACAACAACAACTTATAAGTTCTTTCTTTGTCTTTTCAGAGAACTTTAATAACAACAATTTTCAAAAAGACAAAGAACTTAAAAGTTTTCTACAGTGAATTATAAATTAAATTTTCAGTAGGGAGAATTAAAACCTCTTAAAATGAGTCGACGAAAACTGTGGATACTCTGACAGCAGTTCCATCCACACTGATAAGGCAATGGAGCAAGACTGGGCAGCATGTCATTCTGTTGTGCATAGAGTCACCATGAGTGAGGGATTGGCTTGATGGCAGCTAACATCAACAACATTTCAATGTGGACTTGCCCTTTCACCTCCTTTGAACATCTTTAAAAGGAAGATTTGAAAGAAGAACCCAGACAGTGGGACATGAGAATTTGATGCTTTGTGGTTGGTTCCAATTCATAGAATAGAACAGAGTAGAACTGCCCCATAGGATTTCCAAGGCTATAAATCTTTTTGGAAGCTGATTGCCACATCTTTCTTCCTCAGAGCAGCTGGTGTATTCCAACCGGCAGCCTTTCAATTAGCAGCTGAACGCTTGAGCACTGCAACACCAGAGTTTCTTTGATGCTTTGTATAACCCAGTATTTCTCAAATAAAAACATTACTTCCACAGTTAAAAAAAAAAAAAAAAATCCACCAGTGGCTCCACAAGAGAAAGATAAGGTTGTTTGCTGCAGTAAAAATTTACAGTCTAGAGGCAGGTCTTGATGGTGGCTCGGGTGGTGGTGCAGAGAAGTACCCAGTCAGCAATAACACGGAATACCAGGCAAAGCAGATCCAGGGCAGAGCTCCAAAACTTGGAACCACAGAGATAGAAATATTTTAAAGGTTTGAAGGCTTATAGCCTGTAGAATTTGGAGCTGAAGTAAAAAATCATGTACTTTTGAATCTGCCGGGCCGGGCTTTGGAGGCCCAGAGCCAACATCCTGGGCAAGACCAAAAAGCAAGACGAAACAGGGGGAGCAGAAACACCATGGAAAAATGCCACGGGAACCTTGGGACAAAGGTGGACAATATACTTTGTCAGTTTTGCTTTGTTCTGATTTTCTTTCTTTTTTTTGGTATCTGGTAATTGGCGCACCCACTGTTTACCCACCTCCATTCTGGTGAATAGAGGGAGAGCCTGAGTCGTGTGGCCACCCCCCTACCCTCACCACTGGTGGGTTCTTCTGCCACGCATGCACACAGATACTCAGAACACGTGCAGGCCCTTAACTTTTATTATCTGTTTCTTTTTTGTTCTGTTTCTTTAACACGGGAAAGAGAAGAAGAGGGCTTTAGGGAGGGAAACAGAATTTAAAAGAAAACAGGCCAAAGGTTGGATTGGAGCCTGAGGTTTAGCATAAAAATCAACACTGGGAACTTGGAATCTCTCAGGTAGCTTTGAAGGCAGGAACCTGAAGAGAGGACACTAAAGTCATACTCATATTAGGCTACAGATTTTTTTTGTTTGTTTAATTTGTATTTTTTCCTTACTTTTCTTCTCTCTCTCCTCTCCCTTTTCTGTGATTAGAAACTGCAGTATTCAGTCTTGTTTTTGTTGTTGCTGCTTTTCAGTCTTTTATTTATTTTCTCTCATTTTTTTTTTTTTTCTTTTTGCTGGTGTTGTTTTTCTGTTATATGCCAACCCCTTCGGCCTTTGGAGGACTCTTTGTCTCCCTGTATTACACAAAAAGAGTCAGCAACTGCTGCCATATAGCCAAGCTACAATCTAGCTCTAAAAAATACCAAAACCCAGGCAAGAACCAATACTAATTGTCATATACCAGGGAAACAGACAACACCTGTGAAAGTTACTCTGAGTTAAGCAATAAGAAGAGTGAAAAGGGAAACCCACATCCTGATGACATCTTCTTGAGGAATCTGTACCGGAACCAAGAAAAAGTTATTCAAACAGAGCATGGGAACACTGAATGTTTGAAAATTAAGAAACGTGTGCGACAAGGTTGTATTCTCTCACCATACTTATTCAACCTGTATGCTGAGCAAATAATACAAGAATCTGGGTTCTATGAAGAAAAACGTGGCATCAGGATTGGAAGAAGACTCATTAACAACTTGTGATATGCAGATGATATAACCTTGCTTGCTGATAGTGAAGTGGACTTAAAACATTTACTGATGAAGAAAATGAAAAAGGAAAAAGGAAAGAACAACCAGAAAGAAACTCGACAAAGACAGGGAAGAACTAAACAATACAATCTGGACCTCATAGATGTATACAGAGCCAACTGGACCTCATAGATGTATACAGAGCATTCAACCCAACAACAGCATAATACACATTTTTTTCCAGTGCACATGGAACATTCTCCGAACAAGTCATGTGTTAAGTCACAAAACAAGCTTCCATAAATTTACATCAAAATACTACAAAGCATCTTCTCAGATCACCATGCTACAAAATTAGAAATCAACAATATGAAGACCAAGAAAATAATGTAAAAAATATGGAAACTGTATAACACCCTGTTCAAAAGCTCCCGGGTAGTAGAACAAATAAAAGATGACATTTAAAAATTCCTAGAGACAAATGAGAATGAAAAGACAACTAACTTGGGACATAGCAAAAACAGTGCTGAGAGGACAATTTATAGCAATTAAATGCATACATCCAGGAAGAAGAAGAACAAAAAAAAAAAAAAAATACTTTAATACAACATCTCCAACAATTATGAAAAGACCAGCAAAGTAAATCTCTAGTCACCACAAGAAAAGAAATAATAAAGATTAGAGTAGAAATAAATGAAAAAGAAAACAAAAAAAAACTATAGAAAGAATTAACAAAACAAGAAGCTGCTTCTTTGAAAGGATTAATAAAATTAACAAACCCAGGGCAAAACTAACAGAAGAAAAGCGATAGAAGACACAAATAACACCGTAAGAAATCGCATGGATGATGTCACAACAGAACCAATGCCAATAAAAAGAATAATAAC